CGAACTCCTTTGTGCTGGAATGAAATAGGTGAAAAACAATTAGCTGGACCTGAGTTAGTTCAGCAAACTGCAGATAAAATTGGAGTAGTACAAGAACGAATGAAAGCGCCACAGGATAGACAAAGAAGTTATGCAGATAAACGTCGGAAGCCGATTGAGTTTCAAGTGGGTGATAGAGTGATGTTAAAAGTATCACCTTGGAAAGGAATGGTACGTTTTGGAAAAAGAGGGAAATTAAGTCCGAGATATGTTGGACCATTCCTTATCACTGGAAGAGTTAGGGAAGTGGCTTATAAGTTAGAACTTCCTTTAGAGCTAAGTGGGATCCATGACACATTTCATGTGTCAAATTTAAGGAAGTGTCTAATAAACCCGGATGTAGCAGTGCAGTTACCTGAAATTAAGGTAGATGAAAAGTTATGTTTTGATGAAAACCCTGAACAGATTACGGACTACAAGGTGAAGAATCTACGAAATAAAGAGGTTGGATTAGTAAAAGTTCAGTGGCGTTATCATAAAGGACCAGAGGCCACTTGGGAATCGGAGTCTGAAATGCGAATGAAGTATCCTTACCTTTTTGCTTAAATGGAATTCCGGGACGGAATTCTTTTAAGGAGGGAATGTTGTAATATTCGGGTTTCAAGTTTTGATTTAAGATTTTTGGAACGAATATATATATATATTATATATATAGATAAATATATATATATATATATATGTGTGTGTGAAAGGAATGTGTGAAGTGTGTGTTAGTGATTAGGATGTGTATAAGGGAAATGGGGGGGGTCGGCTGGAGGCACCGCCTACCTCATTTCCTTAGTGCTATAAATAGAAATTTTGAATTGGATGAAGAGTTTTACACACACTCTATATTTGGAAAGTTTATTTGTGAATCATACGGATTGCAAGAAGAGAATTCAAAGCTTGGACATTCGATTTCTAAGGTGAGTGTATTACACTTTTAAGTATTAATTGATGGTATGCAATTCATTGATATCTACTTTATTATGGATCTTGAAATATACTATGCTGATTACACCTAAACCGGTCAAGTGGTGTCCGGGGTTTTATCTAAACCGAACAAGGGGTGTCCGGATATGTTTTAAATCGCCCAAGAGGCAACCGGATTTCATCTAAACWGGTTGAGTGTTGTCYGGATATCATTTTAAACCGCCTAAGTGTTGACCGGATGTGTATTTAAACCGCTCAAGGCGTGGTCAATGTAACCCTCTTAATATTATAAGTGTTTGTCCGGACTTCATATCCGGACAAGGCTGAYCGGACTTCAAATCCGGATAATGTGTTAGAATTTTTGATATATTCTAACGAGAGAGATGTAATGGCGGTGTAACCGCGARAGAGATGTAATGGCGGTGTAACCGCGARAGAGATAAATGAGTATATGTATCTGAACAGGTTTGATTCTGAACGGATTGTTTTAGAAAGTGTTTATTTGTTTGAGATTTATGCACTCACTAGACCTTTTTGGTCWAACGCTCAGTTGTTGGACTAACCTGTTTTGCAGGTCATCATACCTCGCAAGATAAGGGCAAGGGAAAAGTTTAGAATGAATAACATTTAGTTATTCATAAATGTATTTATAGAAAGTTTTTCTTAATCTGTATAATGTGAACGATGTTACATTTTGTATTATAAGTATAATGATGTGGATTATCTGTACATGGAATATGTGGGTTGTTACACATGTGAACTGCATATGGATTTAGGAGGGGGGGAAAATTCATGTTGTAATTGTGACAAGGTCCAAATGTTTGGAGTTCACAGGATTTCATTCAAATTCTACATTAGATATAAGTTCACTGATAACATGGACAAAAAGAAACTGCAAACACCCACAAAACTCCAATAATTTGCCCACAACATATTCAGAAATGGCAAACCTTCCTTCATAAACCGAGCAATAGCTACCAATTGAAAACTTAAGGTTTACTTTCGTTCTAGGATACCAAAATTTGCAGCAGAATTCATTTGTATATTTCATAAATTAGTCCGAGTGAAAATAAAAACTGTATAGATCAAATGAGGAACTAAAATGCAACCTCATATTACAGGAATATCAATCCAGACACCCACATAAAATATTAAGCAACGCATGCAAGGAAAGAAGCTCATACAATCTTGGATACAAATATAGGGAAAATCATCCCAAACCCTTGAATAAAATTGCCAAGAATAACTTGGGTGGTGAATAACCTAGCTGATCACTTGCATGAAGACCCATATACATCTGTGGGAACTCATAGGAGGTAAGTCCATAAAACTGACCTAGAAAGTAAAGATAATCGTTGTTGACATGTCTGAGACTCCTGGCATATAGGCATGCTAAAAACACTGAAATGTTTTGAAGCAGCAGACAGTAGCACAAATCCATACTGCAACCTCACCAATCCAACATACACAAATGCCATAGCCTTTTTATCCAAAAAGCTATATGGCATACCCACATGTAGCCTTTTGACTATGTATGTGCATTGTTGCATTACCATAAATTTGGTCATGCTCATGCAAATTTTGGAGTTCCCTTCTGTAAGGAGAAATCAGAATGGTTTTCCATACAATACTTACTTCTTTATGGCACAATTAGAGATGAAAAAGATTCTAAATTTGGTATACAAGCAAGTGGTTTGTTGTCTATTTATATAATTAGATATGCTTGACTGAAATCCCCAAAATCATTGGTTCCCACTAAACCACGTCAATCCACTTAGTTTCTTTAGTGATAGGCTGATAGCTAATTATTTAAATAGACAACGCCCCACTTGCATGGACGCCAAATTTAGAATCTCTCTCTTGACCTTGTAGTGTATTTAGACAGCATCTGTCAACTTAAAATTGCTCGGTGATTAGGGTCGTATGAAGTCGAACCAAAACAAAAAAGGACCTACATGGTTTGGCGTGAAAGATATGATACTGCACACACACAAGCATCTACTCTTGATGAAAACTAATTAATGTTAGCACTATTAAGGCCAAGTGCTACATCCCAATTTTATGAACTCCCCGAGAGTAAACATCAACTTCTATTAGAAGTGGCACCACTTCTAAGCTCATGACGTCAAGTTATAATGTTCCCATTCTTTCAACATAATGTAATTCCATCAAAAAGCTACCATCACTCCATGATATGTAACAAATGGACCTACCGCCTTCAAATTATCAAGCAAAGCAGTCACTAGTGTTAACATCATCACATTGACTTCTTATCGTCTATTAAAGCCATTTGTCAGTGTTCCCCTAGACCTGGGTTGGTTTATCATTGCTGCAGAAACTTGTGTTGATTTCAGTCTCTTTTGTGTGTGGTACTTCAAATCAAGTCTCTACAGAGATTTAGTAAACGAATCAATGAATTTCTTCATTGACTTGCATCAAGTTCTTAATTTTACTTGCTAGATTGTAGCAATATCATGTACTAGCTACCTCAATAGCTCATGTCGTAAGGCTATATGCCTACACTTTCCAATTTAACATACTACTACAAGGCCTTGTCAGCATTCTTAGACTACTAAAGTAGGAGGCCAAGGGCAGAATTTCAAATAGCAAGTAGTGGATTCCTAATCGACTCGGATTCTATGGTTTAATATCAGACATGCTCTTGTTACAAGCTAGCTTAAGAAATAGCAATCCCACCACAAGTAAAGACAACCTTTGATGTTGAGTGTTGACATGTTCCCCAAGTTTGTGATCCAAGTAGCATCGGTGGACATATCTAAGTCATCTTCAGATACCTACAAATTATATATACCAAAACTTCTAGTTATTAGCTCTATCCTCTCTATGGCTTTCCATTACTCAATGTAATTGCTTTATCTATAGGAAATGTAATATTTGGTTTATGCAAGTAATAGCATACACAAGACTCTCCATACCACTAAGATACTTAAGCATTGCTTGGATCATTAAGAAAGAAACACCTTTGTAATCAAGGTGGTATAACATAGTGAGCACTAACTCAACATGGTGAACCTACTCAATTAGACATGCACTTCGATGATTAAGAGTTCGAAAGACTTTATAATCAAGATATATTTCCGGAAACTCACATCATACACACATATTTCAGCTTTGGCCCATGCCAAAGTAACCCTACCTTTACCTTCAACATGGTCTTACAATGTTTTGTAATGTTAAGCCAAAACCATTGTACAAACAACAGTTTTTTCTTGTAAGGCATTAATAGGGATTCCCAAGGTAGGTTCCCTAAGATTCTATCAAAGGATCCTACTTGAATGATTGGCTTTCACTATCCTCCTTTATATTCCTAGCTTCTTAGGGATCATTTGACTGAGCTACAGAACTATATCAAAACAGACCTCTCCTCAATCAACACCCTCTCTACCTATTATCCATGCTCACAAGGTTAGAATGAAGGAGTGAAAGATCAAAAGATCAAATATATGGCAACACCCCCATCGAGGTGTGTATGGAGCCCATCTGATAAATGTATGTAATTTGCCCAATCTTGGCAATTGATGCGATCATTTTAAAGCTCTATTGACACCTCATATAAAAATCAAAGCTATCTCACATGGGGTACACAGTAAATCATACGAGAAAAAGGAAATGTTTACATTTTCATATAATACTACTAACTTACAACTGCAAACGGCATTGATATAAAAAAAATTATGATAGAATATTTTCCTGCCTTCCTTTATTCCTTGGGGAAAGAAACGAATTCTGGTTTAGAGGACTTGGGAATCAAAGCAAGCAATCATGTAGCAAGGATCATTTGCAAAGTGGCCAATTCAGTTAGTTTTTGCTATTCACTTAACACCTGGGTATCTACCATCAGATGTCTAATTAACAAAGCAGGAAAACAGAAACTGACACTCAGATCAGAGTTACATAAACACGTCTGTTAAACATACACTAGAATCAGATGATTACCATCGAAAAACTCTCCGACAGTGTTATTGGTTCCAATCTGAGGATGGGTATTGTCGATGGGCGTAAGAAGATGACTCTGAATTGCGGCAAGACGTCGGCCAGCGATTGAATTTGAATCCTCCATTCTTTATCCCTCTTAAAATCAAAAACTCTTATCACACTATCAATCACTTGAAGGTGAAGAAAAAACTGCAGTTAAAGGATCAATATCTTCTTTTGGGATTGTGGGTAGTCGATATGAGCATCTGAAATGCATACATACATATGCGTGTATGTAAAGATAAAGAAAATGAGAGAGATAAAGAGAATGCAAAGAAGGGCACGCAATTCTATGGTGAAGACGACAGAATAAAAAATAATGGAAAAGGATATACATGTCGAGATATGGAAATGGGTAATTTTGATCAATTGGATAAGGGTTAGGTTAAAGAGATCAACGACCTCCTTCCATACTGAAACGATCAAGATCACAGAAATTGAATGACGGGTGACGACTGAATGAGCCGTGTGGGTATGGTCATAGGCGGGCATCTGCTTACACATATATTATTATTAAATTACAAATATTACGAAGCTATCACAGGACTTTTTCAGCTTTCACGTCCGGAAGAAAATAGAGCTTTTTAAAAGGCTTTGTTTTGGTTTTTCTTTTTTAACAAATTTCTTAAAAGTTTTTCTAGCTTTAAAATATAACTATAATTCAGGGGTCATTTATTCAAATGCTTACTCGATAAATGTTTATCAGTAGGAATCAATATTATAACTTATTTTTATCAGATAAGATTGTAGTACATCAAAACGGTATCCTATGCAACAATTTATCTAAATAAAAGTCGTTATCCTCACCTATCGGATAAGACTCTCTACCTTTATCGATCCTAAAAGTTTATTGAGATAATAAATATATTACATATTTGTATTAAATAATTAATATCAGAATCTTTGAAACTAAGAAAGGGTGAGGGTGGATGTAAACTCTTATTTTAACATTTTTATATTTTATTTTATTTTTAAATTATGAGATTCCATTAAAGGTATTAAATGTTTAATTTTTGTTTAATTAAAAAATTAATTAAACTAATACCATTCTAAGTATGTATAATTTATAAATTTTTTTTATAGAGTAAAGTTCCTTTTTGGTCCCTAATGTTTGTATTTCAACGGACCTCATCCATAAACTTCATTAACTCGGTTTCAGTTTTCCAATATTCACATGTGAAGAATTAACATTAATTCTTCACATTCGTCAATTTTCAATAGTTTTCCTATCTTTGTCTAACAATCGTTAACTTTTCTTTCATCTAGTCCAACTTCATTAACTCTGTTTCAGTTTTTTCACATTTTTCGTAATTTTCTATTAACAGAAAATGTTAACAGGCAACGTGTTAAATTGAGGGATGAAAGTTGTCGAAAATTGAAAAATATGAGGGGCCAAAATTAAAGTAATGAAGTTTTAGAAACGAGATCCATTGACAAAATTGAAGTAATGAAATATATAATTATGCTTTTCTTTCTTATGTTTTGATTAAAAAAGATGTGACTTTCGTCTCTTTGGTTTAAAAATTACAGTTTTCAACTTTACAGTTTGTAATTCATTGTTTTTTTAAGTATATAATATTTATATAAGACAAATATAACAAATAAACTCACAAATTCTTCTCACATTTGGTGATGTTTGAACCTCTGCCTTTCTATGAGGCTAAAGGTTATGATACCGCTAGGCCAAAGATCATTTGGTTTTATAATTCATTGTTATTTTCATTTTTGAGACCAACTCCTATCTTTAAGTATGGGAGATGGACGAATAGCATCAACAAATTGTAAACCGTAAGAACGAAAACATCAATAAACTGTAATCACAAGAGTGAAAAGAATAGGGAAATGTAAATCATAAAAATAAAAAAAAATCGTTAGGATAAAAATAACCATTTTTAACAAACTACGAAGACAAAAAAACGTAATTTACTCTTAATTTCTTTGTAGTTATTGAATTCATAAATACGATTAACTTAAAAGTCAACATATTTCATCTAATATTTTTCAAACCCCTGTTATTGTTATTAAATGCTATTAAATAAGGGAAAGTAAGACATTAAATTCATTATTGAACTTAATTATTATTGAGAATTTAAATTTATGTTGGGTAGCATTACTAATTTGATTTTTTAAGTAGTAATTTGATCCCAAATTCGATTGAAAAGTATGAAAATATTAATTGATTGATAAATATGTTGTTAATAGATAGACTAGTTATGTTTGGTTTGAATGAAATTGAATTCTATTCTTTACAAATAATTTATAAAAACAATTAAATTACCTTTTAATTAATCGATTATTACAAAACAAGTGTTTTTAATATATTTTAAAATTTTATTACAAATAAATCCTACGAAATACCAACTATTTCTCATGGGATTTCTAAATTCTATGTTTGTGGGATTTCAGTTTCCCGAGTTTCTTTTAAACCAAATGAGGATTTTGAATGGAATTCAATTCCAAATCGCATAAAATTCCATCAAATCTCACATGCCAAACAGACCCTTAGGGGCGTTGGTTCGTACAATGGAATTCGATGGAATTGGAATTTCATCAAATGAATTTGACTTTGAGAGAATGGAATGAAATTTGATAGAATTTGACAATACCTTGTGATTGCATTTGGTTGGATGGAATTAGAATGGAATCCTTAACAGAATTGGAATTTTTTTTATTTGATTCACCGAATGCAAGTTTAGAATCGGAATTAAATATCAACAAATGACCTTTTATGATTTTTTTTTTTGTCATTTTTCTTTATAATTAAAATTACCATTAAACCAAAAGTACATTACTAATATCAGATAAATTTTGAAACTGTTCACTTGTATTACTAATATATGAAATTGCTCACTACAAATTACTAAGATCCGATAACATATGAAACTATTAACTACATGCCTTACTTTCAAAACCCAAATTCAAGTTGTCAAATCATAACCAAAATCAACCTTTCAACACAAACCTCACCCACTCCTCTCGCTCCCTTTCTTTCGAACTCCAAAAAATTAACACGATATCATGCTCACTTATTATCTTCTTGACTGCTATGAACCTTTCCACTCTAGAAAGTGATTGCATTTTTGCAAGTTCAGAATTCACCATGGAAGTCTTGTTTTGTATATCCATTTCCATATCTACCAATATCCCTCGATGCATTTTCAAAATTTTCCCCAAGTAAGAGAGTTGCACTATGCATTCCGTCAAAAAGAGTCTCAACTCGGGTTTTCCTCTTCTTACTACATCGACTTGAACCTTCTTCACTTTGCATATATGTAGCATTATGTACATCATGGCTACTTTCAGTGTCCTCTGATTGTTGTTCTTGTTCTTCTAGATTCATTTGCTCCTCCATCTCAACATCCCTAACTCTACTTCCTTGAGCTCTGTCTTTTCCAAAAAACAATAGTCAAGTCCTCAAAATGTGGAAATGTCTTGTTTTTCCATTTTGCCGCCTCTTTATGTACCTATTTCGTGTCATAAAAGTTAATTAGCAAATATATCAAATAATAACTACACATATAGAATGAAATATGTAATAGGTACCTTCAGGTAAGACTCCCAAACTGGTGCTTCGGCAATTACACATTGTTTCAAACAATCATAACCAAACCCACTCATATTTGTCCCATTCACCATGTCATGGACCACTTGCCAATCTTTTTTCATTGTTTTAATTCTTGACTCAATGTGCGATTTACCCAATATACCATAATCATGAATTGATTATTTTAACAACTTTTCGAGATACTGTAAATATTTACATTTAAAGCCGTTATCCACTTTAAATCCTTCGGTATTAACCATGTTAACCAAAGCCTCCACAAGCTTGGCATCTTCAATAGTTGTCCAATTTCGATAGTTTCTATTACGACTTTAATCCGCCATACCTATTGTTAAAAAAATTAAATAATAAATAAATAACATGTAAAATAAATATGCAAATCATAAAATCAAGTTGTAGCTTTATTAATCATAATATTATGCAACATAGGTATCAAATTCATTACAAACCATACAGATAAACTTATAGTAGCATTCCAAGCCTCAAACATATGTTGTGCCAAATTATTTCTAAATGCAGTCCACTTAGTTGATGTCCCAACAGAACTGACATTATCCACGTCTTGGTCTCCATCATCTTCAGTTGTTTCGTCTAAACCATCAATCTCAAACAAATCATTTGGCATTTCTTGCCTGATATGATTATGAAGTAAACAACATGCCATTATGATCTTGTTTTTCAGTTCAGCATGATAGTACGAGTTATCTTTTAAAATTCTCCACCTTGCCTTTAAAATGCCAAAACATCTTTCTATTACATTTTTGCAGAGGAATGTCTCATATTAACAAGTTCTTTTGGCGTTGGTTGGTATCCATCACGCCAATCATTTAAATGATATCTTAGACCTCTATATGGGGCGAGGAAACCCTCACCATTTGTGTACCCGACATCTATCAGGTAATAATATGGCCTCGGTACCTTTAACCCATGTGGCCTAAGAAAAGCATCTCGAAGCACTCTACCATCAGCCGCTGACCCCTCCCATCCGGGTAACACATAAATAAATTGCATATCTTGTGAACAGACACCTAACACGTTTGTGGCAATTTCATTCTTTCTCGTTTTGTATCGAGCCTTGTCTTCGAGTGGCACTAAACACCTTATGTATGTTCCATCTAAAGCTCCTAGATAATTCTAAAACCAATAAAATAAAAATGGTCATTACACACTTTAAGTTACTTACATGTGAATACTAAAAAAAGGTAGATATTACATATACCTTGAACCACTTCCATCTTCCATCGGTAGAATCCTCTTGAATGGGTTCGGGTTCTTTAAGCAAATATGAATGTAATCTTATCATCGTATTGCAAACTTGAGTAAATAGTCTACTGATTGTTTCTCCCGAACAATGAAAACGACATGTGATAACTCAAATTTTAACATTATGAGCCATAATATGAAGGAAAATGACAACTTGTTCATCAATACTCATATGCCTACTTGCTCATAGTCCTCCTAATGTTTCCAACATATCACATAACTTTTTGAAACACCCTCTGTTCATCCTAAGTTGTGATATGCACATACTGTCACTCTCATAAGCATACCTATGCAATAATGAAGCTCGATCCATATTTGACAAAGAGTATCGAATATGTGGTTTATCCCTTTTGTAGTCGGTTATTAAAGTGCAAACCATAATGAAAAACCAAGCAATAATGGTCATAGCTTCATGCAAAAACAATCTCATAAGCATACGTCTGCGTGTTGCAAAACTAAGTCGGACCAT